AGCTATATTTCTTATATATCATGATTGATGCATCTTCGTAACAGACTACAATATGGTATGCCCAGGACTGTTAATTACCACTTTCTCTCAATAGTCCACATTTTTTACTTAGAACCAACACCCTGAAATTTAGTTATAATAAAATAAGGTTCTTCAGAGAGGCCAGCTATTTCTTCATCCACTCCTTCTGTTATATGTATCAAGCTGTGCAGACTGGCACTTGACCAGCCTAGGTGTGGCAGAAAGGCAAGAGTAGAACTGGGTTCCTCCTGACTCACCAAACAGGACCTAGATTAACCTCCTGTCTCTTTAAAGTACTGAAATTTGAGCTTTTCAAATCATACATAACTCAGTGTAATTTTGATGAAAATGAGGCGATCTGCAATGTTGATTTGACTCTGATCTCTTGCTTTGGATTCAACTTGCCATATAGGGAGGATGATGCAAATAGGAAAATTAGCATTTTGAAAGATCTATCTATTTTATATGAAAGAGTTACAGAAAGAGAAGATAAACATAGAGAGAGATCTTCTATCTGCTGGTTTACTCCCCAAATGGCTGCAAGGGCTGGGTTGGCTGATTGAATCTAGGAGCCACGTGCTCGGGCCAGCCTCTGCTACTAGCAGGGAGCTAGATCAGCAATTGGCACCCACATGGGATGCTGGAGTCATAGGTGGTGGCTTAACCAGCTGTGGCACAACACCAGTCCCTAGGATTTTTCATAAAAGTGCTTATTTTCCTAAGCAGTGTTCTAGAGGAAAACATGAATGAAAAGACAAAGATTGCTTTTCACTTGTTCTCTGCTACGTTCTGGAATCCAGCACTGCACGTGGTCTTGGTGCTGGAGCACAGCCTCACTGCTGTGGGACCCCAGGCTGGCTCACTGATGGTTGCAAGGCAAACCGAGTGACACTTTTCACTGATTGTTCTTATAAAGCTAAAATTATTCAAATTAAAACACCATTCTTAATCCTTGAATTATGGATGCTATTTTTGTTGTTAATAAGTGATGTTTTTAAGATTTATTTTTATTTGAAAGTTAGATTTTACAGAGAAGGAGACACACAAAGAGGTCTTCTGTCAGTCACTCCCAAAATGGTTGCAACTGCCAGAGCTAAGCTGATCTGAAGCCAGGAGCTTCTTGGTAATACCTAGCGTGGGTGCAGGGGCCCAGGGACTAGGCCATCTTTCACGGTTTTTCTGGGCCTTAAAGCAGGGAATTGGAAGTGGAACAGCCAGGACATGAGCCATCACCCATCTGGGATACTGGCACAATAGGGCAAAGATTAGCAGGTTGTGCACTGTGACAGCCCCAAATGTGTGTCTTTCTTTAGATTTAAAAATACATTTGTTTTTATAATTGGTCATGATAGTATATGTAGATTGATTGTTTTTTACAAGTCCTACAAGTTTTTCTTTTTTTTTAATTGGCACACTTATATTAGATACCCAAATTTTATTCATATTTGTCAATCTAAGTAACCCAAAGTCCAAATAGTTGAATACAAAGTAGACTAAAAATCTGGGTAATAATTTTACATTTATGATTCAGGAGCTGTCATCAATTTATCCTTTAGTTATAACATGTAGTTGGTGAGGCATAAGGACAAACACCCTCATTTCTTTATGAAGAAACCGGAGATTACATGGCTTTCAGAGAAGATTTCTGTTGTTAGTTCTGTGCTCCAAATAGCATGGGAATGACTCCAACAATCTGCTGAGTTAGACACAGCTAGCCACAGGAGACTAGACCACACCATCACAGGGTTTCTCAGGACAGCAGCAGAGCCCCACCACCCCACAACACTCTTTCATGTTTTGGGTTTCCCACAGATTTTCATCTTTGGAGTTTCATTAGAGTTGTGGCTATTATCCTTCCAGTTTGGGTGTTATAAAGCCTTTGATCTCCTCTGAAGTTAATTCTCCTATTAATTAAAGCCCAGGGGGTACAGTAGTGAGTAAAACAAACATGTACCTCCCTTCATTCCAGTGTTTACTAAGACCATAAGGACTTAGGAATTCGGCAATCAAACATATTGCATGGTGATAGCGCACTACAGAAAATAAAGCAAAGAGATAGAATAAGGGGTGTAGGAAGGTTGCAATCTTAATTGCAGGGCCAGGAAAACTCACCGAGAAGGTAACAGTTGAAAACAGACTAAAGGAACAGGCCCTGCAAATACACCCAAGGGAAGAACAGTGGGCCTGATAGAAGTAGCCTGTGAAAAGGCCCCGACTCCAGGATGTGCTTGGCTTGGAAACAAGGATAGCAGAGTTAAAAAAAGAGAAAGTCATGGGAAATGAAGGATGGAAGGAAACCAGAACAGAGGACTGATGGTGTAAAGCCTTGTAAACCTCTGCAAAGGCCTTTGCTTTTACCCTGAGGAACACCCACAGATGATGGAGGATCTGAACAAAATGACTTGGGTCTAAAAAGGGCCACTGCGGCCACAGTACTGAGAAACATGGCAGAGGCAGGAATGTGGAATTGGCAAAAGCATTCAGGAAGCAAGAGACAGTCGTGGCTAGGACCTCGCACAGGTAGGTGAAATGTGGACAGCTGGCAGCACATTGCCCCTTTACACGTGCAGCATCTACATCCTAAAACCCTTTACATAGCATTTGCATTGCATTAGTAATGTAATGTAATGTAAGTAATCCAGGAATTATTTGAGGTTTATGGGAATTTCAGCTTAGGTTATATACAACTATTACACTATTTTATTTCATTGCAAAATTTCAAGTTACATATTTGAAATGGGAGAGAGAGATAGCATGAGAAAGTGAGAGAGTGGATGGATTTATATCACTGTTTTATTCTCCCAAGTGCTTGCAATAACCAGGGTTGTTAGGGCTGAGCAAGGACACAGATGGAAGCTAGAAACAATAAAGATCTTGCATGTAGGTGGCTAGAACCCATGTATTGGAGCCTGCTGCCTGCCAGGGTGTGCTTCAGCAAGAAGGGAATCTGGAGTGCAACCAAAACTGGAACTCAGGCACTCTGATGTAGATTCAAGCAACTCACATAGTATCTTAAGCAATGCATTCACTGCCCACCCCTGTTTATACAGGAACTTAAGCATCCACAGATTTTGGTTTCTGCCCTGGTCCTGGATCTCATTCCAGCAGATAATAAGGACAGTGTTTATTGGATTCTAAGAGTTCTAGCAATATTTGCCAACAGAATGGCAGCAAGTCACTAAAGAAAAGCTTTATAGAAGTACATTCTGAGGGGCAAAATAACAAGTGTTGACTTTATGTCTAGTTTAAAGTCATTAATACTTTAATCCAACTGAGATCATCGGCTAGTTGAGGTTGTATGTGTATCTGGTGATCTTTGGCATTTGGAAATACTGAAAGATGAGGTCCTTAGGGCATTGAGACACTCCAGGACAGTGAAACACTCCAGTGTTTAATGGCCAGGGAGACAGAAAGCACTTGTCTAAAGGGCTTGAGGAAGTAGGTATGTAGCCTAATGGTTGAAGATGCTTATCTCCTACACCAAACTCAAAACTCCAGGTCCTGATTCCCTCTCTACGCCAATTCAGAGGATATGAAGGCTCAAGTAGTTGGGACTCTGCCATTCATGTGAGCAACTTGGATCAATTGCTTGCTCCCAGCTTGGTCTCAGCCCCACTCCTGGCCAATGCAAGAAGCTGGAGAGTGAGTCAGGAGAAGGGTCTCTCTATCCTCTCCTACAGTTGTCTCTCTACTTATCAAAAACTTTTTTTTAATTCTCAAAAAAACAGCAAGAAATAAATGTGGGAAGGAAGGCCAGGCAAGAGAGCTCAAGAAGAATAACCAGTAGAAAGAAGAAAAATACTACAAAGTAAGATTCATAGGGAGTAATGGGGTAGAGAATTACTGATTTTCATCATAAGCTAAAACTAAAAAGATTTACTCAGGATTAGGGGTTATAGCACAGCAAGATAATTCATCACTTGGGATGCCCACACTCCATTATCACTGTGCTGGGTTAAGTTCCAGTGAATACAAGAAAATCAGCACAGGGATGATCTGTCTATTACCTGGTCTTTCAAATAAATAAATTTGAAAAATAAAGGCATAAATTAAGGAATAGATTTTTTAAAAAAGCTACCCAGAAAGACAATCATATGAGCCAGATGCCTGATGCTTAACCTCATGTTGTGAAATGAGAGTCCAAGGCTAGGAGCTCACGTGATCATGGAGCATCACCTACACCCTTAGTAAGGCCTGCTTCATTGCATAAACGATAAACTTTCAGGTGTTCATCCTTAAAAATGAAAGACATTCCTGGCTGAAATAGTTTAACCTTCAAATCATTTAAATGATATTAAAAACATAACACTATGATCATCCACACAATAACTTAATGTTAAAATGCTCTCCTTGACCTAAGTTAAGCTTAGAGATCTCTATTGGAGTTGAGCCAAAATACTACTGGATTATTTCATAGAATATCTATTTAATGTACTTTCAGAAGGCATAGATAATTCTTTCAATATGACTGAACTATTTATCTTTCTCCCCAACTGAGTTGCTTCAAAAATAACAATCTAATAATCTTTAGATTTCTGTAAAAAAAATGTGTATGTTAACAATATTAATACCATATTAAAATGAATGCTAATTAATATTTGCTAAGACTTCCTGTGCATTGGAAATTGCTTTAAGTACTTTATGCATGCTTTCAATTAGTTATTATCTGGAAACAAAGCCTTTTCAGAGTGATACCGTATTTATTCTCATACCTCAGAAGAAGAAACTCAGGCAAAAAAGTTAAAAAATTGTACCAAGGACACACCTATATCAATGGCAAAAGTGGGTAAAAAGCTATGTCATGGTCAAGCCATAGCTTTTGATGTTCATGTAGATAACTATTAAATATGATTAATAAGGCAACTGAAATAAGAACCCAGCAATTAATTTCCTTTAACAAGCTATATAAAGTAGCATTGCTGTATTATTTTTGGATAGTGTGACAATTTCATCCATGGCTGTTTATTTCACAAACTCACCTGTTTCTTTTTGTGGTGGATCATCTGCTTTTGTGCTTTTTTCTGAAAACAAAAGATAAAGCAAAGTAAGTACTGTGCAAGCTAACATTCTGTATTTACAAATACAGAACTATATTTAAATGAATCCCAATAACCAAATAAAAAATATTGAGGCCACACAGTTCACTTCTAAATTTTCAGATTTTTATAACATGAAATTCATTACAAAATATCAAAATTTTGGTTCATTGGAATTTCTTATGAAAATCACTGGTCAACGACCAAATTACCCAGAGACCAGGCTCTGTTCATTGTCCTAAGATAAGAAAGCTGGAGAGTATGGTGTTCACCAAGTTTAAATGTTCCAGAAGCACAAAGGCAAACTGGAGAGGGAAAGAACTACTGAAGTTCTTCAATTCTCCATAAAACCATGAATCCTTTAGTAGAGGTGCATGTGGTTTAAAGGAATCTAGCACATTATACTACCTGGATTGTTAGTCTCACAACCCTAAGGTCTCTCTCTCTCTTACACACACACACACACACACACACACACACACACACAGTCCAACCACTGAGGAGTTTGAGTTGAGGCCCAAATATGCATCATTAACTCACTCACTTAGAAGTGCAATATGAAACTGAGACCACTGTGTTAACCTCACATTAATCACAGACACAAATGGGGTTACCAAGGAGTGACACCCAAGAACCTAGACTGGTCAAAGAAAATGGTACAGGACCTGACTAGGTATATAACAAATTGTTTCTACACCTACAAGTACACATCAGACCTACTGTTCATGACATAGCTGATTTTTTTTTAAGGTAGACCAGTTGATTATTGATTACAATCCAATAGGGTTACCTATGGTAGTTTGAGGATTGTGTGCTTGCATACATGGAGGTGCCGAAATGAGGCAGACTTCAGGAGACTGCTGTAGAATTATACACTGTCCTCTCCCCACAGTAGACAATAGAATGTGGGTGAGCTGGGGGACAGTTAAGAGTAGTTGACGGGCCCAACGCAACAGCTTAGTGGCTAAAACCTCATTTTGCACGTGCCAGGTTTCCATAAAGGCACTGGTTCATGTCCTGGCTTTTCCGCTTCCCATTTGGCTCCTTGCCTGTGGCCTGGGAAAGCAGTAGAGGAAGGCCCAAAACCTTAGGACCTTGTACCCACGTGGGAGATCCAAAGGAGATCCTGGCTTCTTATGAGCTCAACTCTGGCCTTCATGGACACTTGGCGAGTGGAACAACGAGCAGAATGTGTCTCCTCTATAAATCTGACTTTCCAATAAAAAAAATAAATCTTTTAAAAATTAGAGAGTATGCTAACAATGGGTTACACAACTTGGTGGTTGTGGATTTTTCACCTTTGAATAGGTGAATATAGTAGGTGATTAATAAATCTGAGGCAGGCTCTTAGGAAGGCTTTGATATAGGAAAGGGCATTTTATGGGCCATGTATTTTGTTGCTCTTAGGCCCCAGATAAAAGAGAGAAAAGGGAATTAACTTGAATCTGGGATGCCAGGCTCTGTTCAAAGCGTGCTGTTTAGGGAATCCCTTCCCCTATGGGAAAAGATTGTGCAAGGGAAGAAACATCAGAAAGTCCCCCAAACTGTCAAAATCAGCAGTTCATGATTCCAAAGCATTATGACTGTTCCACTGTATCACTCTGTGCCTCACATGAAAGAAAAATGAAGCGACAGAGAAGGGAAGGTCTCAATTTTTGCAAAAAACAGATTTTACAAAGTTGACTGCATATAACTCCTGGGGTGGTGCTACAAGAAACATGCAGAATAATAAAATAAACAAAAGGGGCTTACAGATTCTGTTGCACATGACATAGTTAATGGTTGAACTAGCAATTAACTTCATCATAAATTTAGGGGGTTGAACTGCTCACTCAGTAAATACTAACTGTGCAACTAATGTCTGCCTGGCAGTTTTGGAGACTACAAGGATACAGCAGTGAAGAAAAGCATCGGCAACCCCATCCCAAGGAGATTCTTGGGAATGGGACCAGCAACAGCTGCAGGAAGCCCGCAGTCCTCTGTGTCCTGATTTCTACCCTGATTAAACTGAAATGTTGGATGCTGGTTACAAAGGGAAGTTCAGTTTTTCTCTTCATTTAAAGAAATTTATTCATTTTATGATACAGTTCCATACATTCCAGGATTTCCCTGTCACCCTTCTCCCTCCCCAAATTCCCTCACCCCACTGACTTCTCCTATTTTATTACAATAGTATAGTCTCTCACAAACAGTCATAACTGCATCATTCTGCTCTTTCAGCATTTGCTGATATTATAGGTATGGACAATAGCAGAGAGTCCAGCATCCTATTGTCCAGATGGATTTAACAGTTTCATTGGGAATCCGCCTTTGATTTGGAAGTAGACATGCATACTACATTGTATCTTCACATCTGGATATGATAGTGTCTACTCTACAGTTCTTACAGATGACTACATGCACATCCATGCTTACCTATATCTCTGCAGACCTTCTCATGGTTGGGGATAAACTTGGGAAGGAGGAGTAGCTCACATTCCAAAAGTCCTGGGGCCCTGGCAGAACTTCCCATATCCTCTGGATTCACTTCTTCCCAGCAACTTGACAAATACCTATAACATGCTAGGCTCTAATGCAAAACTCTCACTTAGTGCTCCCTGTATTTCCTCTCCTGTCCCTCAGGGAATATCAACAAGTGAGTTCTGAGACATGTTTTGATATGGAGAAAAGTACACCGATGGTGTTTTAGCCACTTTGGTGTCTAACACTTAATTTTAAGTAAAGGAGATTTTTTCTGAGATGCATTTGTCTCAGTAGGACTCTGCTCAGTGAACCAGTAAACGTTACTTCGCTTTACTTTCTCCTCAGTGCTGATGCCTCTCTAGGAGACTTCATGGGCACTTCACTGTGCCAAAGAGGCAAACTGCCTTGTGACCACTTAGTATATACTAAGCATGACTGTAAGCACTTAACAGATGCCACATTTGACCTTCTCATCCGTCACAGGAGCTGGTTATAATTTTACGAAGGAAACTAAGAAAAAAAGGGCTAAAAATCCAGTTAAACACTATAAGCCCGGTTTCAGAAGTCATACTCTGTAACAATGCTACTTTAATCACACTATATATCTCACAATTGACAATCTACTAAGCAAGTCACACGCTCAGCCTACTCCTAAGATTCACAAAACTGCAAGCTAACTTGTAACTCACATTCAGTGTTTATTCATATCCACAAAGAAAGATTTTACATTCTTTGTATTAACATCACTTTTTTTTAACATGGTTTAATTAGAGTAAGGAAACGTTCCTAACAAGATCAGCATCTTGATCTTTAAAAACTACCATGCAACCATTAATATAGTCACTTTTTGGGAATCAGATAGGCTGTACATACTGTATTAATGTTTCTGTGCCTGGGCAAATCTGCCCACTGAGCCCATTCTGGTTGGAGCCCAAAATATATTCAAGCTAATTTCAATCCAGGCCTACTTGCCTTTGCAAAGGCCTCCTCACGCAGGCATCTGTTCATCCTCAAATCCCAGATCTAGCAGTTTGCTTCCTCTTTGGGAGAACATAATGACCAGTCTTCAAGCTGTATTTTTGTTTCTTCCTCTATCTCTCCACTAGCATCTCCTGAGTCACACAATCCTCCCATCCCCTAACAGTTAGTTTCACGAACCAGTTCCCATTAGCCTCCCAACTGACATCTTGTCTGTGCTTTGTCTTTTCTCTAATTGTTCCTGTCTTCTACCTCCTGCCCTATGTTCTTGCTGGAACATGACAGACAATTGCAAGTCAGCACAGATGCCTGCCATTTTGTCACTAAGTTTGCTCATGTGCTAGCTTGGGTAACGCCAATCTGCAATCCAAGCCACTGTTTTGGCAGGTATGAAGTACTCAGCAGAGCAGGCCCATCCCGTCAAAGGCAGTCCACCCACCCATAAGGTATTTGAGGAGAAATAAAGACACTGGAAGTGAAAACAACACTTTCTAGAGTCCCAGGTGCGTATTTCACACTTGTCTCATTCTCTTTTCCATTCCAGAAAATGAAAACTAGGAAGAGAAGGGAAAAAAAACAACACTTCTCCCACCTTTTTCTGTCTGTCTCTCTGGTTATGAGGAGGTCACAAAGGATTAGAAAGCCAGTGGTCACCACCAAGTAAACAAAACTAAGTACAGGGCAAAACCCTCTAAGGAACAATGCAAGGGCTTTTCAGTTTTAGTCATGCCCTCCACCCCCAGCAATGTAGCATAATAGTAAATATCAAGTAAATATGATCTATTTGAAATATGGGTGAGAAGATGGGCTGAAGGTACTCCCTTATATTTTAGTAATAAAAATAGTACATGCTAATGCTAAAATGCCAGTATATATGAAATAAATCAACTTCATTCTGTAACACAATTAAAATAATAAACTTGAAAATAATGACAATATAGAGAAGAATTCTTTTGCATTTTATTGCACTCAATCAACATTAAATGAAAGACAGTCACATTACTTTCAGAAAATCCATTTATGTTGTCCAACTGGGCACATAGTTGCAAAGACAAGATTCATTTATTCAGATATTTGGAATTGAAAAGTATTTGAAGTTGATCACAGTATAATGAGTCCTCAATTTCCAGAGTGCTAGAGATGATCACATATAAAAATCCAGTCAAATTATCTAATCATCCATCAGTTCTATGTTATTCCTAAATTGCCTTTAAAAATATGGCTTTAATAAACAATGCAGTACTACAATTCTCAACAGGAATAACTTTATGATGATTTGATTATTAACTCCATACCACTTAAGTCACAGTTTTAGAAAATTATTGCTTTTTTACTTATTTTCTCAGGTTTAGTACAGATCAAATCAACATGCAGAACTTAATCTTATCGACCTAGAGTCACAAAAATACAGGCTTTCTTTGATTTTACCCTAGAAGCAGGAAAACCATCATCTTATTTTAAAATAACGTTAACATACTCAAACGCTTCTCCTGACACTTAGACAAGAAAACATTTCCTTTTGGGTTTTTAATAGCTCATGATTC